AAGACTACAACATCAATCAATAGAGATCAATCATATCCTATGTTAATAATAATAATAATAAAAATAACAACAATAACAATAATAATATTAGTATTAATAATAATAATAATAATATAATTATTATTAATCATTGTTAAAAATGGTACTCATATATCCAGTTTAGAAAACCTATTGTATAAAACTCAAAGCGAACTCTCTAAATATGTAAATAAAATGATTTATGACATCTTTTAAATTTTCAACTATTAGGAAAGCTACTTGAAACTAAATTTTTTTAAAATATTTTACTTCAATCCAACCATGTATTCATTAACTTTAAAAAAAAGTTAATGAATTCATTCATTAGGTGATCATCTCTAGCATTACCTTTTATGTAGCTGATGTAATTATCTTTATGTAATTATATAAATAAAATAATCATATAAATAAAATAATTAGGTAAATATAACAAATCAGTCTTTTGCTACAATAAAAAATGTAGTTATTATCTAAACCACCAATAAAAATCATCAATATTTATTACATGGAAAAAGACAAGAGAGAGGGGGAGAAAGGAAGAGAGAGAGAGAGAGAGAGAGAGAGAGAGAGAGAGAGAGAGAGAGAGAGAGAGAGAGAGAGAGAGTGAGAGAGATTACAAGAAACAAAACAGATAACTGCACATTAAAAACTTTACAAACAAAAGAACATCTAATTAATAATAACCTTAATAATAATAATAATAATAATAGCAGCAACAATAACAATATTAATAACAGGAGCATGAAACTAAAGCAAGCAACAAACTGCAAGCATGACATGATAAATAACAAACAATACAGTAAAACAATACAAAAACTATCAAAACAGAAACAAGCAAATAAACCAACAAACAAACCAACAAACAAAATCACAAGTAATGTAGCAGTAAACAAATGCCACACCACACAACATTAACAACAACATCAACAGAAAAACACAACAACAACAATTTCAACAACATCAGCAAAAAAGCAAAAACAAGGACAAAAACAACATGTCAATAACGCAACACGCAACATCACACAAACAACAACACTTAACAGCTTAGGATATATACTTAAGCCAACAAAAGAACATGCTAGGCCAGCTATGCTCACTCAATCTCTCATCAATTATATAATCCACACATACATACATACATACATACATACATACATACATACATACATACATACACACATACAAACATACATACATAAATACATACTTATACATACATAAATACATACATATACATACAACAATATACATACAATAATATATATCTATCACACTAGTATCTTTGAACATTTACATTATTATAACAATAATATTATAACTCAATTAAACGTTGTGTGTGTATGTTTAAAAAAAGAACTTTTTACAACAAAGACAGAAAGAGAGAGAGAGAGAGAGAGAGAGAGAGAGAGAGAGAGAGAGAGAAAGAGAAAGAGAGAGAGAGAGAGAGAGAGAGAGCAAGAGAGCATGTATTAGTGGAATTATTTAATTTAGCATGTATAATACAAAACAAACACTAACCATTTCGACTCCACATGTCCACAGGAGCACAAAGAGATAAATAAACCAATATAGATTAAGCAGACATGAACTAAACACATATGCCAATTTGAAACAACGTTACAACGCATTTATATGACATAAATTGTTGCATGTTACACACTGATAAACTACTTGCCGTGAATATTGAACAACAGGTACAATAACAAAGTGTGCATAACCTGTAATATATATATATATATATATAACGATATATGTAACGTTTATACACACAGGAGCACATGTATACATTCATATACACATACACTTCTGTTGACAATTGTGATTGCTTAATTGATTGTTAATAATGCTAGAAACATAGGCAATAAACCTAACATGTAGTTGACAGTTTATCTTATGATAATGACAATTATGACCGTGGTGACAACAATGATTAAGCAGTGATTGATCATATTCATTGAATTAACATACACACTTTTATTTATCATAAAATATAATAAATAATATATATATATATATATATATATATAGAATAATATAACAATAAGAATAAAAATAATGTTATTAATATTATTATTCACCACCAACATCTCCATCATACACACGCACGCACACACACCACACACACACACACGTCTAAATTAAATCTAATTTATAATGTTAATAGTTTTATTTAAAAATCAACAACAAAGAATTCAATATTGAAAATATAAAAAAAAATTAAAGTTATTTAAAAATCTGAGTAAGAGCAGACCATTCATTGCAAGTTGTAGCAAAGCAAACACAATATTAACATGACAAACAACCAAAACAATCCATTTATTTACCTATTGCAGTTTATAAAACAAAGTTAACTTGAGCATTGATGTCTCAAGAATAACAATAGTATGAAATTGAAACCTCTCTTAACATTAATAATGGCATTGCCACCATTAAAATTAACTACATCTTCATCATAGTAAAGTACAATTAATGTAAAGTACAATTAACAACAACAACAACAACAGTGAAAAGATCATCTTTACTTGCAAAACCTTTATCAAGTAACAATCATAATGAGTATATGATTGCACTAAACTGAACTAAACTGAAGATAAAGAAGACTTTGATGATGACAAAATGACAATTGATGATGAAAACCACATTAATGACGATGATGATGATGCCCATATAAAACAATCACATTAGGTGTGGGTGGCAGATGTAGCCTGTAATGAAAGCTACTATTTACTGTTACTACTATTACTACAGCCAATACTGCTACTACTACTACCAATACTACTTCTACTACTACTACTTTTATTGTTACAAATACTTTTCATACCAGAACTACCTACGCCTGTTTTAATTTTTACTACTACTACTACTAGTTAACTAGTTAACCTCTAGTTCACATACTAGCACATAATTATTGAAATTAGACATTCTGTCTATTCTCATCACTCATAGCAATTAAAATACGACTAAGCACCAACCAAGACAATCTAATAAAATTTAAAACATAAGTTTTAAAAACATTAACCAAAAAATCTCTTCTATACAAAATCTTTCTCATCAACCCTCACTTTTCTATTCTCTCCCTTGCTCTCTCTCTCTCCTTATCTTTCTTCTCTTTCTTTTTCATAAAACAGCATTTGTGTTAAAATCAATAATGCTAATCTGAGCAAGCAAAAATAATGAAGATGATGAAACTATTGATTTCAATTGATATTTATTTGTTTTAGCCTGTGTGCCAGCCAGCCAACCAGCCAGTCAGTCAGTCAACCATCTGTGCTTGTGTACATATACTATACATGTGTGTATGTGTGCAGTTGTCAATAAAAAAAGAACACTTGCACACGTAAAAACATTAAGAAATAAGCAACAACACAAAACCAACAGACAGCTGGAGCAATTTTTAATTATTGTGATCAATTTGAAATGTTTAAAATTATTATGTATATGAAAAAAGCTTATGCTGAAACATCGTAAACATATATTTCAGAGGTCATCATGTGAGTGGATGGAGCAAGTATAAAAACTGGATAGTTTTCAAAATTAAGTCATACAATAAAATAGGATTGCTAGGTTGTTTACTATCTCAAGTGTGACTCATTCATTAGCTGATTCATACGGAAGATTTATTCATTCATTCATTTATTTATTTATTAATTAATTATTTATTTATGAACTTATTGACTATTCTTATATATGAATTTCAAATATAGCAGCCAACATTGACAAGAAAGATAAAAAAATAAGGATAAAAACTGCAAATAAATAACTGACCTTAAGAAAATGATAAAAACTAGAATATTAAACAATGACTGATTGTCAAAAAACATACTGAGTTGCAAAAATAATGTTTCTATAATAGTATTGATTAACATATCAGATAAAAATAACATTTATACCATAAAACATACTGACTGAGTTATGAAAATAATGTTTGATACCATACTGTTGATTAATATATCAGATAAAAAAAACATTTATACAATTTTTTCCTTCAAGCCACACACATGTTCACACAAACTGCATTCTCACACAGACATAGACACACACACACACGCAATAAAAACGCACAGATGTTTTTAAATGCTTCACACAAATAACTGAAACAATTAGATATTAGATAAATAATGTAATAAATAAGATAAATCAAAGTAAAAGATGATAAGTGAAGGCTAAAAACTTGGCATGAAAATTGTATAAATCACAGCATTGTTAAAAGAGAACAACAACTTATAACACATCAAAGAGAGTATTTAGTCTGTCTAGGGATCCCAATTTTGAAAAGTCTCTTTCAATTTAGAAATTTAGATTTAGAACTGTTGCCAATTTATTGTTTTGTATGATTGAAAAAGTTTGTTGTAAATGTGCAGTACTACTACCACAGTACCACTACTTACACTACTACTACTACTACTAGTAGTAGTAGTAGTAGTAGTAGTGACAGTAGTAGTAGTAACTTCCTACAAACAATAATAGTGTGGTGATGTGATGATGTATACAAAAGGATGAAAGGATGGAAAATAATTTACACGTTTGTTTGAAAATTTTTAAACTTCAAGTGACAACAACCATTATTCTCTTCATCATCGTCGTCATCTTTTTCACCATCACTGCCCATCATCATAACTAATAACATCTCAGTTATTGGCTAAACGATATAACCAACAACCATCGCATAAACATTAAAAAAAAAATCAAAAATAAAACCATACCATGTATTCACATACTATTAATTGCACTGACACCACACATGCTTACATTGTTTCAAAAAGTCATACAAACTTCCACATATGATCTATAAAGCACTACACAGCAAGACACCACCTTAAATTTCATTGTATTTATTTATTCATGTAATAACAGATAAACACACACTATGAAATCTAACAAGACAGCAACGAAAATGATAATAATAATTAAGAGGACAAACAACTAATAAAACAATGACATAACAGTTAAATATCACAGGCAACAATTGTGTAATTAAATAATTAACAACCAACCTGCTGCTGCTGTTCAAAGTAACTGCTCTTCAATGTTGATGCTGTCAATCTCTCAAGTATAGGAAGTGGGTTTTTCCAGAGTTTATTTTTGGAGCTGGGATTTTCCGGTGATTTCTTCTTGCCATCTAGACTAGGGCAAGCACCAGATTTATTATCATTGTTATTAGCATTACTGAGATTACTACTATTATTAGTTGTTTTATTTTTATAGTTATTACATTCATTTTTCAAATTAATCTTATCAGTATTATCACATATAATTCTGCAGTTATTCATATTATCAGCACCATTATCACCCTTATTAATGACACTAGCCTCAACACCAGTCACGTTTGAGTCACTCCTTTTCTCACCCTCCATATTATCAATATAATCATTGGCATCTAGATGAGGTGGAGATCTGGCATCATTATCATCATGAGTGTAACCACTATCAACAACACTATTATCATATCCATCATCGTCATCATTATTACCGCCAATATTATTGGTGAACTTGTGTGATGACAATGACGATGACTGACTGTCTGAATGGAGTGATTGACATATCACGAGCTCAGGTGGCTTATCAATGTTCTCATTATTGTCATCATTATTGATATCAAAATTATTTTCATCACCATTAATGCTACTAAGGGGATAACCATCTTGAATTTGACCAGAATCAGCATTGGCATCATTTGCAGCTCTGCGGTCGTCGTTAACATTACCATCATGATCCATGCACATAACACCTCCGTTATCATCATGTTCAGCTTTATCATTACCCCAAGTATTATTTTTATTATTATTATTACTATTATTACAAGGGTGATCAGAAATTTCCATATTGGTTTCATTTTTATTCTGCTCATAGTTGCCTTTGACAAAATTGCTATCATGATTATTATCATTACAATTACCACTATTATTATTATTATTATTAGTAGTAGTAGTAGTAGTAGTAGTAGTAGCAGTAGTATTACTATTATTGAAATTGAAGTTGATACTTTGACCAATCAAATCACATTCCATAAATTTATCACTTTCACAACTTTCAGCACAACTATTATGCCCATCATTATTACCATCATCAGCATTATTTTTATTATCATTACTATTACTATTATTAATTTTATCATTACCATTGCTATTATGAATATCTTGGTTAATGTTACCAGTAAAGTTAGTGTGGTCATTGAAAACTTTCCTATGGTCACAATGACCACGGTAATCCCTGACATCACTACTGCCCAAATGGTCAGTATAATTTCCAGCCCATTTCTCAGGGCTTTCAAAGTAAGTATTTATGTTGTTATTTTTATTAATGTTGTTGATGCTATTCTCTTGTTGCTGTTGTAAAGTTGATGGTGATACAATACCTTGAGGCAGTGATGATAAGAACTGTTGGTTTACATTGTTGCAATTGCTAATGTTGCTGATGCTGTTGTTGCTGATGTTGCTGTTGTCATTTTGAGACATAATTGTGTCATTGTTGATGTTATGACCACTAATAGCATTGTTAGCATCAATGTTGTTGCATGCAATAACATTGTGGCTGGTTTGCAGCATGTTACCAGTACAAAAATTGGTTTGGTTATTTGTATTATGCGAGCTGTTGAGGCTGATGTCACCGCTGTTATGTTGTTGAGTGTTGTTGTCTACAGCAACTCTATTAGATGAAGGTGATTGTTGTTTCATTTGATGCCAATCGTTCATGTCAGACTGATGAATACGCTTTGATGCTTGCTCATGAAAGGAATAGTCGTTGATGACTGGAGGAGAACTCACATTAGCCGTGTTGTTGCCAGTGTTGACATTGTTGTTGCTGGTGATATTTGAGTTACTACTACTATTCGTGACATTAAGATCATTAGCAGAACTGATATTATTATTATTGATTGTATTAACATTGTTGTTTATATCATTTAAACTGTTGTTATTATTAACAATCGATTCATTAGTAAGTTGATTATCAAGAGGATTATTTTGATTACAATTAGTGTTACTTTTATTTTTGTCAACATTTGTTTGTTTACTGTTGAGCTGGTTGAAAGCCTCCTTATCTGGTGCCATTTTTTGGGACCTAGATTCCAAAGAGGCAGCAGTTGAGCCCATAGCAGCAGTAGGTATTGACCATTGATTACTTTCAGCCAATAAAATATTTTTTTCTTGCATTTCATCAGTGGGTTGGAAGCTGCCATCAAACATAACATTTCTCGTGCTGGGACACTCATTCCTTCTAAACTGCTGCTCAATTGTTCTCCAAGGATCTGATATCGACCAAGCCAACCCATCTCCATTCATTGGCCAGGGAAAATTCTCATGCATTGAAAGACGATACTGTTCTGCATTCTGCCAGTTGATTGTTGAATCATTCACTGACATTTTCAATGGGTCATTCATGGGCCATCCAATAGAATCAGTCAAATGTTGTCGCACTGGCTCCACCATATTCCATGCAGCCATCGATTCTGTCCACCTCCTTGCATCAGACACAGGCCAAGTAAACTGATCGGCCATGTGGTGAAACATCGAAGGATCTGACATAGGATAAGTAGCCTGGTCTGGAAGTGGATACTTAACATGTGAAACAGCTAATGTACGTGTTTGTAAGTCTTTGTTCGACCACCTGACTGCATCTTTTTGAGACCAGCGAATCTGCTCCTTCGATGAGCCCTTTGGAGGCTCTCTGTAAGAAGTTACTCCATTGTTATCTACCCTCCATAGAGCTCCTGTGTTGGTAGCAATGGCTAGCTGTTGGATGACCTCTTCTATATCTAAATTCTTCTGCAGTTGTTGTCTGACAGCTTTGTGGATTCTCACAACTGTAGCACACTGTTTCTGGTGCCTTATCTTCGCAACGGCCTCTATCAAGTTACGAACTGTGCAGTTCGTAGACGCTGTTAGTGATGATGACGAAGATGATGACGGTGGGTTTAGCAAGTTGGGTGTACCATTTCTGATTTGATCCATTTACATCAGAAAATATTCTTTATTTTTATGGAGATAGCATATTTTCATCTGTAAAAAATGACGCGCATTAAAATACTTTTCGAAAATCAAAATTCATAGTTTTTAAATATTAGACAAATTAAAAAATAATTTTACATTTTGGAAAAAGTTTACCTCTAAAATAAAAATTAGGAAAATGAACTTTAGGGAGATGGAAACAACGAGATATCCATATCGGTCACGATCGTCAAATAAAATAATTTGATAACAAAAAAATTTTTGTATAAATGATATAATCCGTAATATAAACGTAACATCCAGTCATTAAACAAATTATTAGGTAATCTACTTAGACGAAGACGATAATTATCTTACACAATCGCCATCAATAACCAATATGGCTGCTGCAATTGCTGCGATTCAGTTTTAAAATGGCATCTAAAGCCTAAAATTAAACTTTTTAAATGTTAATTTTTTTCAAACGTTGAATAAAAAGAGGCGTTTTAAATAAAAATTTTTATTTATAAAATATTAAATTATCTTCAATTATAAATTTATAATCGAAACTATGCGCGATAATTACCGTTTATTTGCCAGAAAACAAACAATGGAAGAAACTGCGAACGTCGCACGGGTCGTAAACTTTACACAATAGTTATAGATTTACATACAATACACGCGCTTTATGTATGTAATATATATATATATATATATATATATATACTTATATATAAATTTGTTTATCTATTTATATGCTAGTCCAGTAAAAACTTTGATTTACCCGAACATTTCTGTTAACAAGCCAATTTTTTCATAATCATTTATACTTGACCCTAGTGGTTCACAGCAAAAATTCGATGAGCTTCTTTTTTGAGGAACTCAAAGTTGGTGTAAAAACTACACCGTAACGCAGTGGCGGATCTAGACAACTTTGACGAGGGGTGGGGCCAAAAATTTTGAAATGTTTTAATTTTCACGGTAGGGTCCAGAATTTTCACGAGGGAGCCAAGGTTTGTCGTTGTGTGGCTGACAACTTTCTTTTGCTTATCACGTTCAATGGGATAAGAGGTTCGGGTTTAATTATCTATTACAAAAGCTTTTTTTTTATAAAATTATTGAGTTAAAAAACGAAGATCAGGAATGACACTGGAAGTGTAAATGCAGGATAGGGACCCTGGTACGAAGTAATTCACGAAGAAACAAATAGCCGGTTACAGCCGAAAGATGAAGATGACATAACATGACATGATAATTTTTTTTCTACATCATTGATAGTATTATTATAAGTTAATGAGATTTAATGATAAATAGTTTATACGGCCGTGTGCCTTAGTCATATAAATAGAACAAAAATCTAAGTATATGATATGAATGGTTCTTTTTCGAACCGGCACATTCATTCATGGTCAAGTGTTGCGCAATATGTTGATGTTGAGTTTGTTTATGTCAGGAGCATGCTGTTTTGACAACCCCAGTCGTGTGTTTCGTCGTCCTGTCTGTCAGTCAAGTTTCTTAGAGTGATTTCATTTATTAATAACTAGCGAAATGAATTTTCAAGGAATTGCATCTTGATTAGTAGTGAGATTTATTTTATACAATAGCATACGCGTGCTTTTGAAAACGTTCCAGGTCTAGTTTTACATTTTAAATTTGAAGTTTAAAATAATAAATTAAATTAAATTATTAAATAAATAATAAATTGAAATTGAAACGGAATGAATCGAGTGTCACTGGATAAATTAGTGGAGTTGCAGAAAAATGTCAAATGCATCAGGAATGTCTGCATATTGGCCCATGTTGACCACGGTCAGTTGTTTCTTTCACTGGCTTGTTTTACTTTATTTATTTTCAAGTTAAGTGTCTATTTTCAACTTTGTAATAAATTAAAACAAAATATCAATTCCATTTATATGTAAAAAAAATGCTAATTTAATTGCAAACTTAGGTAATGTATAAGAAAATTATCCTAAGCCTAACTTTTGGATTTTTTAATTTAAATTCATTAAAAACTCATTTTGATTTTATTTCCCATATGTTTATTTTTATTGTTTATTAATTTATTTAAATTTATTATATATTTTTATTGTTAAATAAATCTAAAAATAATCATAATTTTATTTGAAAGGCAAAACGACATTAGCTGATGCACTTGTGTCTAGCAATGGCATTATATCACAAAAAATGTCAGGCAAGGTATAATAGAGAGATGCCTATACACACACAGACTCATACACACACAAACTCACACACACAGACTCACACACACACAGAATCACACACACAGACTAACACACACAAATTCGGAATCTCTATTTTAATTATTTTTGAAGCTGAGATACATGGACAGCCGAGAGGACGAGCAAATTCGTGGCATAACCATGAAATCAAGTGCTATCTCACTTCATCATCAGATGGGTTGAATTACAATTTATTTTTCTTCTTTCAAATATATAATTTAAATATTATTTTTCTATTTTTGCTTTTTAACTTTTGGTTAAAAGATTTTATTAATCACAGCTGATTAAATGATGTAGTGAAAGTGATGATGATATGGTGATGACGATTATGTGGTGAGGATGATTGTGATGATTGTGTGGTGATAATTATGATTGTAATTTTAATGGTGAACTGTTTTACACTCGATAAATGTATATATTTTTAAATTATTGAAATTTGTTTAAAACTGTAAATAGCAGTTAAAACCAAATTTGTAAAATGTATTTAAAATATTTTGACCTAGAAGGTGCAAAGGAATTCCTAGTGAACCTGATCGACTCTCCCGGCCACATCGACTTTTCAGGAGATGTGTCAACGGTAGTGCGCCTGTGTGATAGTGCAATTGTAGTGGTTGATGTAGTCGAAGGTGTTTGTCCACAGGTATTTTTCATTAAAAAAATTTTTTTAGTAAATTTCTTTGTTATTTAAATACTTTAATACTTTTTATTTAATCAGCCGATCAGTTAAATTTCTCTCTCTCTCTCTCTCTCTCTATATATATATATATATATATATATATATATATATATATATATATATATATTATAATATTCTATAAATTCTAAATTTAATTCTATATATATATATTATATATATTAGTTTTTCTAGTATTTCAAAATATTTTCAGTTGAAAGACATTTAAAAGATTTTTGTTTTTGTTGAGATAAATAAATAAAATTAGAATTATTTCAAGTTTAATACAAACTATAGTTTTTTTTTTAAATTATAAATATTTTTTGGTCATCAAGGGACGCATTTGAAAGTGAAACTAGAAAATTTTTAAATTTCAGACGCATGCAGTGTTAAAGCAAGCCTGGCTCCAGAACATAGTCCCAGTGTTAGTGCTGAATAAAATGGACAGACTGATCATCGAGTTGAAAATGAATGAAGAAGAAGCTGAACTGAGAATTTTACAAATCCTACAAAAAGTTATAATCTTCTAATTTGTTATACATTGGTCAAATCAATATTTGATAAATGTATTTATTGTGTTATATGGCTGTTTCATATCATTGCAATATTATATTTCAAATTGTCAAACTGTTACATTGGTCGGTCGGTTGGTCGGTTTATTGGTTGGCTGGCTGGCTGGTTGATTGGTTGGTTGATTGATTGGTTGGTTGATGTGAATGATGTTGGTCACCCAGGTCAATGCCTTAATTGGAGAGCTCTTTACCAGTGATGTGTTGGCCAAATTTTCCAAGGAGGTCATTTATTTATTTATTCATTCATTCATTCATTCATTCATTCATTCATTCATTCATTCATTCATTCATTCATTCACTCATTCACTCATTCTTTCATATGTTTATTCATTGATACATACATTCAAAAACAAATTAAAATATACGTATATGGTGAAAACATCTGCAGCTATTGCAGTTCTTGTAGTAATAATTTAAAAGTTCTTGGGATATAATTAAGATAGTTCTCATGATACCATTAAGATAGTTCTCATGATATCATTAAGATAGTTCTTATGATATCATTAAGATAGTTCTCACGATACCATTAAGATAGTCACATCAACCAATTAGATCTGGTAGAGGCGATACGATATAGTAATTATTCCCGCTTCAATTCAATTGTGCGTGTGCGAGCGATTTTAGAAATGAACATTTGAAACCGCACCCGCGACAAACTTCACCTATAGCACCTATCTGCTAACGGCAACGTCTGCTAAGTTTTACAAATTTTTTTGGCGCTTTTAACTGACGTTGTGGTTATGCATCAACGATAACATTATTTTATTTTTATTTCACAAACTTTTATTATAATTTTTCAGAATTCAGAATCAAAAAAGTTGAAGAGTGAAAATATTAACCAAGTTTGTGCTGTTGGGTCTTTCTTTAAATTATGAATGAATCATTAATTGATAAAAATCACGAACAACTGCAACATCACCAATAATGATCTTATTACTCTTATCTATTATTTTTCTAATTGTTATTATTATTATTAAACTTTTACTTTACCCTTATCTTAATATTTTCCTTCTCAACCTCTTTAATGTTTGTTATTTCACCAACTGCTGAACAAACAAGAGATCCACTTAAACCCGGTTCGAGCACAGTGTCTCTGCAGTTTGATGCAAATGAAAGGCACTTTGTAGCTGCGGTGTTTGCCTTTGCTGTAACCATTTGGTGTGGCCGCTGAAATAATGATGAAAGTAATTAAGATAATGTTTTAATGAGAACATCTTTCAATTCTTCATTAAAACGTAATTGGAGTAAAAACAAGTTCAATAAAAGCGTACAAAAAATTTCCATATACATAAATACATACATACATAAATAAAAAAATGTTAGTTAAGATGTTAATTGGTCATTTATAATAAAAATAGTAAGAAAAATAATAATAACAACAATAATAATAATAATGACATCATTACTATTATTAATCTTAATAAACAACCGCCACCATCTTAGTTTGATCTGAATGATTGGACGGTTGGCTTGGATGAAGTCGACGATTCGCTCCTTTACTTTTCGCCAGAACAAGGAAATGTTGTTTTTGCCAGCGCCTACGACGGCTGGGGATTTAGGTAAGTTTTATGTTCTTTGCGTTTCATTTTCTTTGTATTTTATGTTCTTTGTTTTTATGTTCTTTGATTTTTATGTTTTTTTGTTTTTGTTCTATGTTTGTTTAATGTTTGTGGTTTGTTTATTGCTATATGCTTTAGTAGTAAATGTTTTTTTTATTAGTATCAAGAATCAAGTTGATATATTTTTAAATTATTTAATATTAAATGAAATTTGTTAGTTGTTTAGTGGATGATTGTAAATGTTTGTAAGCATTTTTAGTGAATAGTTGAGAAAAAGTTATTTATGATTAATATTAATAGATTTCCAGATTTTATTTGAAAGATTTGAATTGTTCATTTATGATAAACATACACAAACATATCAGTAATTATCTAGCCAAGTATTTCCTTTGGCTGAGCTTTCATCTAAGTAACTTTGTGTCGTTAATAATTTAGTTTTTAATATTTTTTAAAACAAATTTTCATAAATAAGTCAAAAAATAAATAAACTAATTAATTAATTAGTTAATTAATCAACTAATTAATAAATTAATATTAATGAACTTTCTCTAACCAATCACAGAACATCTCAATTTGCTGAATTGTACTCAAAGAAGCTCGGTGTTAGTGAAAAGGTTTTAAAAAGAACCATTTGGGGAGATTATTATCTAGATCTGAAGAATAAATGCATCAAGAAAGGTGCCAGGGTTGGTACCTTTCTTTATTTGTAATCTTTTTTATTTTTCGTTTAATTGTTGGTCTTTTTTCCTAAATCTTTATTTAATTTTGTTTTTTTTAATAATAAGCTTCTTATTTCGGTTTAATAGTGATAATAATAGTATTAACATTCATAATTATTATTATAATGTTAATAATAAAATTACAATTATCATTAATAATATCTTTTTTAAAACAGACAAAGAATAAAAAATCATTATTCGTTCAGCTCATCCTAGAGAACATTTGGAAAGTGTATAATTCTCTGCTGATTCACAAGTACTTTATTATTACTATTATAATTATTATTACTATTATTATTATTATTATTATTATATTATTATTATTATTATTATTATTATGGTTATTTTATTCTTTTTTTTAGTTAACAATGATGATGGTGATATAATGGCAATAATGAATGATGATGATACTGCTGCTGCAACTACTACTACTGCGGCTAAGAATATAATAATAATAACAATTATTTTCATAATTATAATATTTATGGTTAGAAGAGCCGCTTAATAACTGCAATTAATTATCCGCATTTAATGATTCGTTTATTGATTCCTCAGAGATAAGACATTGGTGGAGAAAATAGTGAAAGCGTTAGAATTGAAAGTTTTGCTCAGAGAGTCTGATCTGAAGTCGACCAACCAGACTGTCATCCAGTCCATCCTTCAATCCATCTTTTACCAATGGTTACCTGTTTCAAAAGCCGTCTTAAGTCAGTTATGTTAAAAATTAAAAGTTTTTGAATCTGTCAATTTAAAGCGTTTAGACGGCGCCGTAATGGCCAAGCAGTTAAAGGTGTCTGCTGTTACGTTGCGGTGCGGTGCTCCTGGGTTCGATTGCAGACTATCACATGTGATACGTATCTTGTGATGATGAGTTTGATTGATGTGTGGCTTCGCATGTCTCTGTTGTTGTTGTTGCCTTTGAGAAATATAAATCGAAAAGTAATTTGACTTTTAAATAATTTTAAGTAATATGACCTTTAAATATTTTTTATCATTGTTATCATTATTATCTCCACCATCATTATCATCAGTATCATCAGCACTGCGATTAATAATGATAACACCATCGCCGTCATCATTATCATCATTCTCATTTCATGCGTCACCATCATCATCATCTCCAGATATGGTTTGTGAGTTGCTCCCTGACCCGTCCAGTATGTCCGACGAACGAGTGATGAATTTTCTTAGAGGATCATCATTACCATCAACATCATCATCATCATCTCTAGAGTCTCTACCTCCTGAGACAATCAAATTGAAAGATGGTCAGACTTTTGGTTTATTATCATCTATGTTATCATTGTTAGAATATTGACGTACTGAATAAACAACGTGACATGTATGTAATAATTATAGTTATTATGGTTAATATATATTTATAATTATTGCTGTTATAATTATCTTTTATTAATAATAATAATATAATAGATATAATATGATTTAATATAATTAAATGTACAGATCTGATGAGATGTCGGGCCTCAGATGACGCTCCTCTGATCGTCTTCATTTCAAAGATGTTCCCATTCGAGAAAAAATTTCTACCCAAGAATAAGCAGAGGTTTTTTTTTGCTATTAGAAATTTGCAATTTATGATTGCAGGAATACTGCTGCTACTACTGCTGCTGCTACTACTGCTGCTGCTGCTACTGTTGCTGCTGTTTTTGCTATAAATAATAATAATTTTGTGGTTATTGTTATTATATTATTACTATTATAATTTTTATAATAATTATTATTGCAACTACAGGCCTTTAACATGTGAGGAAATAGAAGAGAGGAGAGAGATGCTGTTGAGGAAAAGAAAATTAAAGGAAGCGCAAAGTACACAGACAACAACAAACACGGCAACAAACACAACAACAAGCACAACAACGAACGCAATAACAACAAACCCAACAAAAGACAACACAACAAATACAACAAAAGACACAACAACATACACAGCAACAAACACAGCAACAAACACAACAACATCAACAAACGCAACAGCAACAAACACGGTAACAAACACAGCAACAAACACAACAACAAACACAACAACAACAACAAACGCAACAACACCATCAACAACAACAACAATAGCAACATCATCAACAGCATCATCAACAATATCATATGAAAATATTGTTGACGACCCAACTGTGGACACTGACGATGGTTAGTGATGTGATGTACTGATAACAACAACAACAACAACGACAATAATAATAATAACAATAATGACACACACAGATCAGGTGTTCATAGCCTTTGCACGTGTGTTCAGTGGTACGTTAAAGAAAGGTCAAAAATTATATGTCTTTGGTCCCAAACATCACCCATCCATTGTCGATAAAATAATCAGTCAGGTAAGTATAAAAGTGACGTCAATTTTATTTCTTTGATGTTTGTTTGTTTGTTTTTTATTCATTCGTCGTTCCTTCAGTCATAAATGAATAAATGAATGAATGAATAAATGAATGAATGAATGAATGAACGAATGGACGAATAAATAATAAGATTGTTCGGTTGTTAATTTTAGGTAAACCCCGAACAACCAGCGCATCAGCAGCAACTTCTGGACAGCCTTTTGAAGAAGAGGAACATACAGGAGTGCAGAGTTGGCGAGCTGTACATGCTAATGGGCAGGGATGTGAATGAGGTTCAGGAAGTGCCTGCTGGCAATATTGTCGGTCAGTTTTTTGTACACGCTGTGGTATAATTTTTGTATTGTTTTTTTGGTATCTGGTACATTGTATTGTTGCTTGGTACACTGTATCGTTGCTTGGTACATTGTATCGTTGCTTCATACTGCCCAATAATTTTGAGTTCTTTCGTTAGCATTTGGTACGTACCATTTATTTCATTCCTTATTATTTTAATTAACGTGACTTGACATTTGAAGGTATCGCAGGATTGGAGGATCACGTGCTCAAATCGGCAGCCCTGTCGTCTAATATATTTTGCCCGACGTTCACTGACCTCCATCTGGATGCTTCGCCGATCGTGAACGTTGCCGTCGAGCCGAGATGTACAGGTGGGTTTGACGTCTGACGAGATGTACAGGTGGGTTTGATGTCTGATGAGATGCACAGGTGGGTTTGATGTCTGACGAGATGCACAGGTGGGTTTGATGTCTGATGAGATGTACAGGTGGGTTTGACGTCTGACAAGATGCACAGGTGGGTTTGATGTCTGATGAGATGTACAGGTGGGTCTGATGTCTGATGAGATGTACATTGGGTCTGATGTCTGATGAGATGTACAGGTGGGTCTGATGTCTGATGAGATGTACAGGTGGGTCTGATGCAACTTCGGAGGTATCAACGCCCGCGACAACAACACAGCGTACGTGAATGTGTGGGAAACGACGCTACCCACACATTGCATATGAGAGGCGGAGATCTCTTTTGCATTCGAAACCGGTGACTGCTGGAGCGAGCTTTTAACCACTACGTCACCAAGACATTTGTTTCGTAGTTTGCATGCATGTGTACTTTGGTCATGTAGTATGTTTCAAGTAACTATTCAATAAAACGACAAATCAATTTATGAACTGCGCATGATGCACTGATTGACAGCTGACATGGACAAGTTACTGCATGGCCTCAAACTGTTGAACCAGTCAGATCCGTGCGTTGAGGTGGTCATCAAGGAAACTGGAGAGCACGTGATTGTTGGGGCGGGAGAGGTCCATCTCAACAAGTGTCTTGATGATCTCAAAAATAGGTTTGTTGAAAGATGGATGCACGAGTGAGTGAGAGAATAAATGAATGAACAAATAGTTGGATGAAAAAATGGATGGTTTGATGAATGAATACGTGAATGATTGACATGTTTTGCATTGACCGACCACGCCAGATTCGCCCGCATAGAAATCAACGTATCAAAGCCCACAGTCCCCTTCCGAGAAACAATAATTCCATTGCCGGTTCTTGATAGGGTCAACGAAGTCATCAGCGACCAATCACAGAAGTCTAAAAAACTTGAAAACAATCGACCGTCGTCCAGTAGTTACCAGATGGAGACTAGCGAAGGGTGGTGCATTAAAGTGAAAGCAGTCCCGATACCGAATCCCTTGGTCCAACGATTAAACGATTATTCGCAGTTCATAAAATGCGCTGTTAACAGGATGAATGATTCCGATAAAAATATCGAGGGCTTCGATGTATATTTGAAAAACAAGTTGATTGAATTGCGGACAAAATTGTCTGAAACTGAAGACGATGATGAAGAGCAGGTAAGTCCCGAGTGGGAGAAGGAGTTTGTAGAAAAAATTTGGTCGATTGATTTCAAGAGGAACTGTTCCAACATATTGGTGAATAATGTTGCCGGGTATTTGAGGCCATCATTTTGGGACCTCATCTCTGATGAAGATAAGTCTACTTTTAAAATGTTAGTTGCTTGAAATACGAATATTCGTTTTTAAACATGTTTATTGTTTAGTGCCAAAATTGTTGATTTTATTCAATAACTGATTATGCCATTTGACGCTTCCGTCGTTAATATAAAGTGCAAGTGTACATAAGCTTAAGTATGAATAGTGAAACTGTTATCAACGTTAAAAATATAGAATATGAATGCAAATGTAAATTTGAAACCTAGGTTGAGAGCATACGATCGATCTGTCATAAATGGATTTCAAATGGCAGTCGATGCTGGTCCGATGTGTGAGGAGCCGATGCACGGAGTCTGCTTTGTGGTGGAGGAATGGTCCAGGAAGATGGAGGAGGATAATGGGAATGATGAAGAAGAAAAGAATGATGACGACTGTGGCGACGAGAAGAAAAATGGTGACGGTCATGAAGATTTTACTCTGGTTAATGGTAAAAATTCGAACGAATCAGACGAGATTGAAAATCAAAAATCAAAGAACACCAGGCAAGCAAACACGACAACGCCAGCTGCCGTCAAGAAAAACAGAAGTGACTTCGGATCATTGTTGTCCTCTGTTAAGGAATGCTGTCGAAAGGCGTTTGAGATGCAACCACAACGTCTGATGTGGGCCATGTACACCTGCGTCATCCAGGCCACCTCCGAAGTTTTAGGTGGGAAGTTTCGTCATCCACATTCTCATCATCGCTTGCTTACCTTTAATACATAATCAACTTTTTGAATTTCAGGTTTTTGCTGATTTATTTCCTACAAGTAAATCAGCAAAAATGATTTCAACTGTTCAATGAATGAAAAATTTTCAGGAAAAATGTACGGAGTGCTTGGAAAACGCCACGGTCGAATATTAAGTGAGGAGTTGAGGGAAGGTTCGAACGAGTTTGAAGTTACCTCCGTCCTGCCTGTCGTCGAAAGTTTTGGATTCGCCGATGAATTCAGGAAGAAGACCAGTGGGTATGCTATTCCTCAACTGACCTTCACTCACTGGACGGTCAGTAAGCTTTTTTTTCTTTCCCACCATTAATACCGAATTCATTATTATTCTATATAATTATAAACCAGCAAACACGAACGCCGAACTGAACAACAGGTGATTGATATCGATCCGTACTGGGTACCGACAACAGAAGAGGAGTACATCCACTTCGGGGAGAAGGCGGACAGTGGCAATCTTGCCCGCATGTACATGAATCTCGTGAGAAAGAGGAAGGGCCTTCAAGTCCTCGAGAAACTTGTCGAGTTCGGAGAGAAGCAGAGAACGTTGAAGAAAAATAAATAATATCTTTATGCATTTATTTTTTTTTTACATTATTCATGAAGAATCTTATAAACATTTATTCACATTTAGAATGCATATTATATCGGTGTATTATTTTCAGATATATTTTATTGGTTATGTATCTACATTAATTAGGTCGTTTTAAACTGTGTCACCAACATCGAAAGTATGTATATTTGATTAATAAATGATAAGCAATGGAAGCAAATAGTCAGGAAATAAATTTTGTTAAAAACATTTCGTAGCATCGTTTGTTTCGTTAAAATATCTTCTCTCTGCCTACAAGCCAGTACGTCGTCATCATTCCTTTCCCCTGGAATTTTCGTTGTTGTCGTTGTTAGCAAAGTAAAAAAATTTTTTTAGTGAAAGTAGATCTGAAGCATTCGAAACGTAAATGAAAATTAGTTTTAGGTAGAATTGTCGTCAAACTTTTATCTCGATAGTTCCACGCTTCTTGAGGTTATAACGCTTGAACTCCTTCAGTTCTTTGTGCGTTTCTTCCGACAAATGAATTCTTGACGCTGTTGACTCGTAAATAAATAAACGAAAATATAATAGAGGAGATATAAAGTGGAGAGACAATGGCCATGTAGTGCACTTTAAATATTGTACCTGCTCCAGTGGACTGCATGCGTGAGGCAGTGTTGATGCAGTCTCCGAACAAGCAGTACCTTGGCATCTTCTTTCCAACAATACCCGCCACGCAGGGTCCTGTAAAAAATGATTAGAACATATTAATTATAAATCGCTGTGAATATATGAATATTCATAAAGCATTTTTAGTCATTGAACGAAACAATTAAGCTTAGTGCCCGTATTAATTCCAATCTTCAATTCCATTTTGGTTTGACTTCCTTGGAGGTTCAATTTTTCAAGTCTCTGCAAGATTTCCAGCGAAATGTCGGCGATTTCTGCAACGTGGCGGCTGCCGTTTCTTGTCGGCACGCCACTCACAATCATGTAGACACTTCCTATTGTTTCCACCTGCAAATGTTTCAAAATCGCGTCATAATGCTTAATTGAGAGATTGAAAAAACAGAATCCACCTTGTAAACGTCGAAACGGTCGACGATTGAATCCAACAAATTGAAAAGAGAACTAAGCATATCTACGACGACGATAGGTGTGTGGCCCATGACCAAATCATTGAAGCCAACTATGTCGCTGAAGTATATTGTTGCCGACTAAAACATTTTAAAAATTAATCTGGTTATTTATTCATTGGCATCGAGTGAATAATGAATGAATGAATAAATGAGTAAATGAATGAATGAACGAACGAACGAATGCATGAATGAATGAATGAATGGATGTATGATAGATGAATGGATGAGTTACACATTGCCAACCTTAAAATATTCAGCATTGACACCGTGACCAAGACGCAACTGCTTGGCTACTGATGCTGGCAACATTTCGTAGAGTAACTCCTCATTTTTATATTTTTGTTCCTCTATGCTCTTAACTTGACTGTTAAACAGGGATGACAATTGGACGAGGTCTTTAATTGTAGTTTCGCAGTTGTTGTATATCAGCCCAAAAGCTGGTATGAGGAAGAGAAGGGTGCAGGAAAATATGACCAGCCCTGCAAAACATTGGACAAATTCTCATTGAATGTATTTTGTTATTTTGTATTTAAAATAATGCACCTGAAACACATCTTATGTACTCTGGATAAAATCCCTTGGCTTTTTCATCTGCGATTATATAATCTTTAACGTACTCGTTAAGTTTAGCGAAGTTGTGGCAGGTTTCGAACCATTCGGTGAAACTGCCATTGACATTTTCAGAGTTCACGATTGATTCGGTGGATCTGATGAAATCATTGATAACTTCTGTTGTGGTGTTGTTCATCATTTTGAGGTGGTAATTGACAATCTCCAGCTGAAATTCTTCCACAAAGTTGAGGTTGTCAACGGAGGAGCTGTAATTTGTTAGGAAGTCGATCTCCGTCGAGCTATCCATGAATTTTCCGCGATAAAACTTATCGAACGCAAGATGGCACAAAACTGACGTCTGCTCGTGAGCGTCCATGATGTGCTGCAGCGCGTACACATGCAAGAAGGTCGCCTTCGAAAGCTCCACGTCGTAGAAGTCAGGAAGGAAGAGAATCAACAGTTTGTTTGCCGTTGCGTAAACGTATAACAACCTGGAATACATTTTTTCACAATCTTCTAAACTTCTTCCGTTGAATTTATAGCGAAAGGTGAAAAGCATTTTTCTGAAATTTTCCGAACTGTTTCCACTGACACCAGTGCCTCTGACGCCTCGGTCTATGTCTTTCGCATCAGGTTTCCAAGCCAACCAGTTGAAGTTGTCCACTGCGCCGTTTGTCTCCTCGATTGCGCGATCCATTCCCTCTCTGCCACGCACGCAAGAACCGTTGCGCCTCAATGTGAAGTTGCTCAACCTGTTTCATGTTACCAGCCAATGGCGAAATGTTAATCAGCATTTTATTAATAATTTCAATAAAATCAAGCATCAATATAGATACAAATCATCTTATGTATCTTTATTTTTACGTTTGAAGACATCAACTACCAACTTGTTAAGCAAAAACTCCCTGCTAATAACTGCTCTCTCGTTAATTAACTTTGTCGTCACATTAGCAACGTTGTATCTGAAGAGAGCCTTGTTGTACATGTTCTCGTAACCTTTCAACGTGGAGGAGTAGCTGATCAGCTGTATGATGGCAGCTATCAAGAAGATCACAGCTGGTAGCACGGGCAGACCCAACAATCGAACTCTCTGCAAGTTTATACCGCGTGTTGAATCGGAATCAACCGTCACGAAGATATATCTCAGCTGGGAAATTATTGATTTGAATGTTGGCTTGCTTCTAAGGCCTCTTAAATAATTCACGAAGCGATTCAATAGTATCATGGCTCGCGGTTTGTTTAATTTTACAGAAGCCATTTTCAAATTTTATATTAGTCAGATAAATGAAATAATCGGAAATAAAATTTCTTTATATATATATTCCATTTCTACGTCATTATTTTAATTGGACAGCGACTTTGGAAGAAGTTGAATGTGAATCAATAGTCTGTCTGGAAATTATGGATGTCTGCTTGGTCAGCAGCAGCAGATGGTTTACTCCTGTTAAGTTTTTATAATGAGCCCACATGCCTATTAAATTTTTCATGATTTTAAAAAATTATCAATTAGTCGTCTGCATAAAGTTTTTAGATAGTGAATCCATCAGTGTTTAATAATTCAAAAATTTTTTATTTCAATTTTTACAAAAACATTTATACAAGGTTTCAAGAACCAATCGTTGCAATGCCCGATTAGGCACACCTTTAAGATATTGTTCACTGGGAGTGTATCTGACTCATTGAAACCAGATTTTTATCCACAAATTTAAAGTATTTGCACGAAAATGGTAAAGAAAAGTCTTTTATGGCCTACATTACAATAAAATGCATTATCAATGATTCAATATTCAGAAGGTATATTTTTTTCCATAATTACAACAGATTGTACATATAAAAAATATTTTTCTCCCACAAATGATCTTATCTGTTAGGTGCAGAAAATATTCCACCTCAGTGCCTCTTACTGAATATTTTGTGACGCAAAAATTTGTCTTTCGTAGTATGTTTGGCGCCATTAATGTTTCTTAAAAGCTTAATTAGCGTCTGTTTCTTTGCAAAAGTGCATCATAAATATTGATTAAATTACGCTGTACAATTAATATTTCACAATGTAATAATATTTATGTAAAATGTAATTCTGTAATAATATAATTATATCATTCAAACATTGTAATATAAATTTCTGTCTCTATGTTTCGGTTGAGTTTTTATAAAGAGAAAAATATGAACTTATAATTTAAGAGGGAATCAAAATTTAAATTGCTAGTACTTCTCAAAAAAAATTTTAATAACATAATCTTAACAAAAATGGTCATTAAAAGGTTTTTAAATTCTCAAGTAAATACGAAACAGTTTTTAATTGTTCAACATCACTGTTGTTCATTTTCCTCTTCTCTTTTGTCTTTTCCTTCAAGCCAGTAAGTCGTCATTGTTCCTTTACCCTAACAAAAATAATTACAAGTTGAAATGTTTTAGAATTTAACACGAAATAATGATGAATGTTTCAATTTTTCCCTCCCGGCACCTACCTTCACTTCCAATGTTCCCCTCTTCTGTAGCAAATATCCTTTCGCGGCTTTCAGGGCCAAGTAGGCGGCTTCAGATATGTGCACTCTTGACGCTTTGTTTAAGTGTTTTGAATTTTTAAAATATGGTTCGTCTCAATTTGAAAATTTGATTTCGTGAGAAAAAAAAGTTTCATTACCACTTCCAGTCGACTGCATCCTGGAAGCAGTGTTGACGGTGTCGCCGAACAAGCAGTACCTCGTCATCTTGTTGCCGACAACTCCCGCGACACAAGGACCTGTTGCGAAAACATTGAGAACTTATTAATTAAAATTAAAAATTTGAATATGCAAAAATTAACAACGATCAACCAGTGTGAATTCCAATTCTCAACTCGATTTTCTTAGTGAATCCTGAAAAATTTTGTTCCTCAATGTTGGCCAAAATATCGAGCGACATGTCGGCAACTTCGACGACGTGCTGCTGGCCGTTCCTCACTGGCACTCCACTCACAACCATGTACACGCTGCCTATTGTCTCAACCTTGTGGTGCAGTTGCAGTCAATTTAAATGTTTTAACGACAAAACGGTTTTGACTGAACTATTTTTTGAATAAAGAAAATTTAGTTTTAAAGGTAATTCAACATAAGTAATGCAGTAAATATTGTTGAAAACATTACAGTCTTCTTACCTTGTAGACATCGTAACATTCTATCCTTGAATCTAAGAGGTTATAAACCGAGTTGAGTAGGGTGATAACTTGCATCGGCTCTGAATGCAATGTAATCTCATTGAAATCAACAATGTCGCTAAAATAAATGGTCGAAGTCTGAAATAATAAAATAAATTATCGTTCAGCGATTCGATTGAAACGTAGGAAGGAAGTGTGCTGACTACGAACTTCGTACGTTTCGGCTTCCACGTTGTTTCCCAACCTCAGCTGCCGGGCTACAGACTTGGGCAACATTTCTGAGAGCAGCAGTTCTGTACGGTCCTTTTCAGTCAGCAGCTCCTTGGCTTGACTGCGGAACATCGTGGAGAATTGCTTCAAATTTTTCACCGTCGTCTCCGAATTCAAATAAATGAAAATGATTGCCGGTATATTGAAGAGGAGAGCAAAAGAGTAGAGAACTATTCCTTCAAGTTTAAATCATGCATTAGTTTTACATTGATTCAGACATTTTAGAAATTGTGCATACCCGTTACACACTGGTTCCACTCTTGATCAAATCCTTCCCTTCGCATGCCACCAACAATTTCTGACTCCAATTCTTCGCTCAATTCAGAAAACTTCCTGCAGGCAATGTACCACCTTTCGAAATCAATCGCCACGTTGGAATCGTTGACGATGGCTTCAGCGTTCGATAGAAATTCTTGAGCGGCTGCGTATTTCTCATCGGATAGAAGCATGTTATATAACTGCTTCAAACTTTCATCTAAGCTTAAAGAGTTGTTGATGTTTGACATTCCGATGCTATAGTTGCTCACAAAGTTGTACTGAAATATTTCGTGCTGGAAGTCTCCCAGAACCAACTTCTCGTAAGCCAGATAGCAAAGAGACGAAAGAGTTTCGTGAGCTTCTAAGACGTATTGAAGTGCAAAAACGTGCATGAAGGTAATTTTGGAAAGTTCAACGTAATAGTAATCTGGCATGAACTTGATCATCATTTGTATGCTGGTTGTGTACGTTTGCGTTATATTTCTGTAACGCTCCTCGCACTGAGAAAAGTTTACACCTACTAAGCCATACCTCACTTTGTTTATCAACATTTTGAATTCCTGTGCGTCACTAGCTGGTAGTCTTCCGTTCTGCGCCATTTCTTCGAGTTCTGATTTAGTGTAAGTTGTTTGAAGATCGTCAATTATACCGATTAACTCGTCGGTCTCTTTGATGCTTTCCGCAATTGTAGTGTCGTTATCGTCCACACATTTCCCAGAGAAAACACTGGAATTTTGTGACCTGTAATAAAAGAAATGTTTTAAAAATTTATTTTATGTAATTTATTTTTGTTTACTTTTTTAAAGCTAGTTTATTTCTTAAGAAGTGGAATGCAAAAGCAGATCTTTCCTTATCCAGGGAAGCGCACAGGTTGGCTATCTGGTACCCATACCTTGCTCTGGTGTACATGTCTCTGTAACCATTCAACGTGTTTCCGTAACTGACCAACTCACTTATACAGACGGCCACAAATATGATGACCGGTATGAAGGGCAAGCCAAGGAGTCGAAATCTCTGCAGGGACCTGCCTCGGACGGTTGACGAATCCACCGAGAGAAAAATATTTTTCAGTTGGTTCCAGACGGACCCCAGAATTGTTGCACTGGAGAGAGAGAGGGAACTGCGAACACTCGACGTGGAATAAGCCGCTGTCGATGGATTCTTGCTCATGTTGTTATAAAAAATTTTGCTTTGTACTTATTCAATTAAAAGATTTTTAATTTCTTTAAAAATATTTAAATCGCATTATAGGTGTTGTAGCGTTAGATTGAAACGAATATTGAGCTTTTGAAACATCCTCGCCCGCTACAACTACTACGTCTGCAACTGCTTATTTTAAAAATAACACACAGAGAGAAAGATGAAAGAGATGATGTCGTACTAATTAAACGTCACGAAAACACGTCATACATCCGGCTAGTAACATACATATGTGTGTACTGCACTGTACTGCACTGTACTGTACAATTGTACATACTTGTACACACATCACCGTGCTTCGTGAATCTTCTTATACCAGGACCATAATATCTAATTAATTCCATATAATCATTGATTTAATTAGTTTCTCGTTGTACATGCAGCGTATATGTATGTATGGATGGATGAATGTACGGATGTGGCGTGTGTTGGTTTGATATAAATAATCTTCATTGAGCGTAGATAATGTTTAGAGCTTATTGTACAGTACATGAACACGTGTAGATAGTGTATGCATAGCAGCGTGTTTTCATTCGCTTGGCGTGCTCTACATAATTTCGTCACCTCTTTGCGATCCGATAACTCTTCTCCAAACTCCAATTAGCAGTCGTCAAGATTGACACCTACGACGGCGATGTGCGAATAACGAAGAAGGCAGGCTGGTTGGCAGATGGCTTTGAGAGTGTCTTCACTAGACATTGCAACAGGCCTGATCAATGACTCACACGTGCAAGTTAATTCTAATTATACATTTCTTTCACTCTCTGTTTGTATCCAAAACAGTTGTTTGTTTTTTATTTGAAAGAGACAAAAATGAGCTATGATATTTCAAAAAATTGAAAATAAATTTATTTCACAAACGTGACTTATGATTTCGTATGACATCCAACGCGCAGGTAGGTACGTGTGGAAAGGTCTGCAGTTGCAGTCGCAGACAGTAATTAAAAATACAACACCTGTCAAAATTAACTGACAACAACATTTGATCACGTGGTTTATGACGTAAGCGTCGTCTCTCTCTCTTCCTTTCTCTCTCTCTCTCTATTTTTCTCTCTTTCTTTCTCTTTATATATATATACATACATATGTATGTATATACCTTTGTATGTATGTTATAGGTTTATTCCCAGATATTTATATCACAGCATTATTTAAGAAATTATGTAAAATGAATAAAAAATTAATTTAAAGAAGTAAAAAAGTTCTCATGCACAATAGATGAAATTGAATAAATAAATGAGATTATCAAAATATTTATTGTCAAGTGAAGTTAATTATGAAAAAATATTAATACAATAAAAGAAAATATAAAAAAAGTTGGGAACGAATGGATGGATGAATGAATGAATGGATGAATGAATGAATAAATGAATGAATGAATGAATGAATGAATGAATGAACGAACGAACGAACGAATGAATGAATGAAATACTAATACAGAAAAATACGTCGGTGACAGAGAAGATATGTATCGGTAACATACTGCAAATATATTTGTGAAAAATTAAAAGATATTTTAAAGTTAAATAAATTTATATGCTAATTTTTAGTAACATAAAATAAAAAAATCTAAATAATTTTTGTAAAGACAAATTCTCAGGGAAAATTAGCACATCCTCCAACGAAAATAGCACATGATGTATGAATGAATTCTGATTTCAAGGAAAAAAAATGTTTAAAAATGTTAAAGTTGGACGTAATATGTATCCTTTATCATTTGTATCCTTTCATTATGTTGAAGTTTTGTGGTTCTGAAAAATATCATCGTCATCATCATCATCATCAATATTATCATCAGTGTCGTCATCGTTGTCTTTATCATCATCATTATTATCACCATCTTTATCGTCGTCATCGTCATCATCATCGTCATCGTCATCACCATCATTATTAAGAGTTAATTTTAAAAAACTCCATGACGTCAATTTGCTCATTTTAGAAATAAAAGATTTAGTAAATACTGTGTTAAAAAGTATAAAACTTGTACATTGTGCTAATTACTAGAATAATTAACTAATTAATAATAAACCAAGATTTATAAAATAAAATAAATATATTATTTTGCAAAATTCATGAAAATCTTTCGACTGTAAATTTCAAATTGGAAGTAGTAAACCGGATGTGGTCGATAGATGGGTCTTTTAGTTGGTCGACTCGCCGGCAGACTGAGATTTCTTTTCCTCGAGTTTTCGGTTCTGCGAGTTGAGCCTGGAAGTTAGCAACTTTTTCGTCCTTGGAATGGCCACGGATGGAACTTTACTCTCCAGGTTCAGTTCTTTCATGCTTTTTGACAGCTGATTGTCGTCGCGATCACGTCTCGTGTACCAGTAGCCGTAATGCCTGTATCTCTCCCAGTATCTCACCTTTGTTTGAAGGGTTAGCAAATAATTTTGCGGCTTATAAATTTTACGGTTATCACTTATAAATTAAAGCAGTGAATTTTCCATCGTCTAAGATAAATGCTAAAGTGTAAGCTAACTTGGTCGTCCAACTCGGCAATCCTCAACGTGGCCTGCTCAGTTTTCTTTTTCATTTTCTCCATTTCTTCCTTTCTTTCATTTGATTCTTTCTCCGACTTCTCCAAGCAGCCAGCCAGGTATCTGATGTTTCGATCTCTCTCTTGCAACTCCTGATCGTACGTGCTTTTCATCTCGTGCATTTGTTTGCTGGCCTCTCGAAGCTTCTTCTCACTGTCTTCGGCAATTCTCGCCATATCATTCAGCTTTTCAGTGAATGACCTGACCACTTTTATGATGTCCTTGTCCAATCTCGCCTGACCATTCATTCTCGAGAACGTTTCATCGTGCGTTTGACGACCGGAATGTTCAAGAATGTCGTACACTCGCAGTTTTTCTTCTTTCAGCAGTTCCAACTTTTCAGAATTGGCGGAAGCATGCTCCAGCAATTTTTCAACTGAGACTTCCATTTTTCTAATTAGTCCTTTTCCAGATTCTTCTTCAGACCAACTTTAAATGTTAAATATTTTGCATTTTTTAAACAATGATGTATATATTAAATAACAATAACATTAATTGCTTTAAAAATTGACAATAATTTTAAAATTTATTGGAAAAATAAAAACTTGAGAAGCATGTCATTACATGAAAACAGCATACCGAGTGGTACTTTCGTCCGAGTTTCCATCTTCGGTGTCGATGCTTCCACGAGAACTCGCCATGCTGATGGAGCGACTCTGGTTGATGAATGCATGAATCTTTCGAATCAACCCTTTCAGAACTGCATCTTTATGTTTGGCTAACGCGATTTGCTCGGTCAGGGCTTGTTTAGTTTGTTCCACGTTTTTGATCCAAATATTTTTCGTGCATTGAGTTCTGACGGCGAGCAGTTGCTCCAGCTGGCGCTTCTCACCCTCTGAGAGGCGTTTTGTGGTTCCAAAGAGTCTGTGGACGAGTGTGGAAGCCTCGTTCTTGATGTAGTCATCAATTTTCAATTGGCCTCTCTCCAAACTCAGCTCTACTCGAAGTTCAGAGCTGATCCAGGGGTTTTCTTCGTCTAAAAATTCGCACAGTACGTTGAATACGTTTTTGTCTAATTTAGCTCTCATCAAGTGCTCAAGGTACTTCCAAATTTTTTCACAATTCTTCATTTCGGTCTGTTTTTATTAAATTAAATGCAAGTTTTTGTTTTGTGATTTTATCATTGTAAATAGCAATTTACAATTCGCGCAATTAGTTTAAAAAAAGTCAGTTTGAGAAGCAAGTTAAAAAACTTCGTCAAGTCAGATAACTACTGAATATATAATTGAAATAACACAGCGCCGAAAACAGCAACAAACAGCAAACATAATAATATAATGAAACAACAACAACAACAAAATCGACAACAATCGATTAATTAAGATGACAACAACCTCCTCGATTTCGTTGACGAGTGCGTCCCAGATGAGATCGTAAGACTTCAACTTCCGGATCGTCGCCTCATCCCACGTCAAGTTGGCCGATAATAAATCCCTCTTCCACCTGATCACCTTCTTCTCCTGCACGTCCATTGTTTTGAAGGGGTGGGGGTGGTTGGGTTAGGCCCTGCCTAAGTAGATTTTTAGTTGCTGGTAGACAACTTACTTTAAATTTCTGAATAAAAAGGTAAGAAAGTTAGTTGACACTAATTAATAAGTTCATTTATTAATTCATTAGATTTGTTCATTGGGTGTAATATTTATTTTTCATGCCAGTACTTATATATTTAAATAGTTCTTAATGAAGAGTCGGGCTGAAGAAGCATGAAAAAGAACCAGCTACTTGCTATCTTACTTACTTTTTGAATTAATTTTTAAATATTTGTTTTTTTAAAAGTGATTTTAAACTAATTTTTACGGCTCAGATAAAAAAAATATAAACAAATTTATTTATTTGTTAACTTTCAAAATTTAAAATCAACTAAAACAATTATGGTTGCAATATTATAAATTGTTGTTGCTACTACCACTACGGTTGTTGTTGTTTGCTAGTATCTATGAATAAAAAAAAGAATTTTTATCCGGATTTTATCGAAAGTTATCTAAAGAAATTTTTTCAAAGTTTAGTTGAATGCTTCAACATCCTAAAGAACGATTCAATTGATTCAAAACTGAAAGATTAAATAACTAATATAAAGCGACATGAATGAACGAATGAAAAAATGAATGAATGCATTATTGAATGAACGGATAGATGAATGGATAAATGAATGAATGAACAAATAAATGGATAAATAAATGAACAAAAGTAAATTGAAATAGTCACTTACAGTCAAAGGAAATACATTAAAAAGAGACCTAACCTCTTATATAACAACAAAAAATTTTTCTTGTTGTCGTCGTAACCTTGGCAACGACAATGCAACAAAACAATGAAACGAAGGATGATGATGACGACGACGACGACGACGATGATGATAGTGACAATGTTGATGATGTGTTGATGATGAAATTATTGTTGTTGTTGTCGCTGTTGTAGTCGTTGTTGTTGTTGTTATTGTCGTTGTTGTCGAAGATATTGTTGTTGATGATGATGATAGTGGCCATGTTGATGATGGTGAAAAATGGTTCAATATGAGACGTAGACGAAGACGAAGAAATATTTACATTTTGTTGTTTGAGGCAATGGAACGTTGAATTCGTTGGTATTGTAATATCGGTTGTTTTTTGACTTGTACACGAAATTATTTATTGTTAATTATAAATTGTTGAAGAAATTTTATTAGGCTTGTCTATTCACATTTATGTCTGAATGATTGAAAAATGAATGATTGAATGAGTGTGTGAGTGAGTGAGTGAGTGAGTGAGTGAGTGAGTATGAATTTTAAGATCGAACAACCGAATAGTCCAACTTCCACTTAAACCATCGTTATCTTGGATTCTGGAACAATGATGTTTGAATATTAGGAGCTGAAAATTTATTTTTTTCCACCACCATTACTGTCTATTGAACAAAACTTGACTTGACAAAAATTGAACTGAAGAACATGAACAGAAAACTTAATATTATCTCAATATAGAATTGCTAGATAAGTATAAATTGGCTACTGTTTTTTCGGTAGCTTCTTGTTTTTCATTCTAAAAAATTAATTTTTTTTTCCAGCTACTCGGACAATCGGCCTTACTCCAGTTCCACTATTCGGTGCATCTCTCTTGCCGATTCCATACGCGCACACATACTCACACACACACGCACACGTACACACATATATACACACACACATACATACACACACAGATGCACTTTTATTTGCAAAAAAAAAACAAACGAGCCCTGTTCATGTTTCTAAAAAAGAACGCAATGAATACAATTAGTTCCGGCAAGTAAATACATATGTACGTACATACTTAAGTGTATTTAATGCGCGTATTTATACGCACATTTGCGTATTGGATACCTCTAATGTAAAAGGCTTCAACAATCAATAACGCGTACGGCTTGGGGGGGTTAACTGCGCATTCACATACAAAGACATCTAACATCGTCAGCGATGATTTTTCTCGTATTAGTAATAGTAATAGTAAAGGTGGTTTAAAATTAGAAGCAGCAGCAGCAAAAGCAGCAGCAGTAGTAGTAGTAGTAATAGCGGTAGTGGTAGTTGTGTCATATTGATTTATATTTCTATAAAACTCAATTAAATATTTATGTCGTTAATCTAGAAAGACATCATGACAAACATTTTAAATATAGATACGCAAAATGCGACATCACCACCGTCACCACCGTCATCATCATGCTCATCATCATCATCTTTATTATCGTCACCACCATCATTATTATCGTCATCATCATCGTTGTTGTTGTTTGTGTCGCTAAGCCATGCATGTATGATTGATGAGTTTTGGAAAATAGTAATGGTATGTATGTGTATATGTATGTATGCGTGTATGTATGTATATATGCATATATGTTTGTATGTATGTATGCCTGCGCGAATGTGTATATGTAATTTTACTACTGTCCTTCGTTTGTATTACTAAAACACTCCTTTGTTTGTATTACTAAAACACTACTACTTAACTACTACTACCACTACTACTACTATTACTACTACTACTACTGCTGCTGCTGCTGCTACTACTACTTTCTGTGGCACAACTACTACAAACGCTACAAATATTACTACTACCAGGACTACTACTTTTAATAATATGAACAAAGGAACGGAAGATTTTTTTTAAATTTTTCTGAACTGGAAAAAAAATTTCCTTTTAGTTTAATTTTTCTCCGTTTCAGTCAAACAAAGCAAGCGAAACATGGGTTTATTCATGCTTAGATGTATATGTGTATGTGTGTATTTGTGAATTTGTTTATGTGTGTACGTGCGTGGATTTGTGTGTGTGTGTGTGTGTGTGGATTTGTATGCGTGTTTATGTGTACTACCAAATATTTGCGCGCGCGCGTGTGAGTTGTGTATCGCTTTACACATGTGTAAAATTATATCTTATGGGATGAATACTTAGTAACAATATTTTAAACACACCTTCAATATTGCTTTTATTTGCATATATTATTATTTTTTACTCATGAATAATTAAGCACGCACTCAAAAGTTAAATATTCATCAGTGGTACAAGTGGTAGCAGCAGCAGTAGCAGTAGTAGTAGCAGTAGCAGTAATAAGTCTTGGAGACAAAATATATTTACTTCTAAAAAGGATGAATTGTGAACAAATTTTTAAACTTTTTTTTTCAAAGTTCTCTATGCATAACATATAAATAGATTTTATTTGTGACGAAATATAGTAAAAATATTAACAATAACAGACAAAAATTAAATAATAAATATAATTATAGACAACTATGGACAATTATTAGACAAACATGAACAATTACAGACAAACATAAACAATTATAAACCAATATAAACATAGATACAACAATAATTTTAACAGACGTTATTGTTGACTGCAGTTAATACGGCAATGTTATTGCTCAAAACCATTTAAAGATTGCAATGTTAGAAAATCACAGAAAATTATTTAGGCTGTTAATGACGAATCAGACTAAATTAATTAATTAATTAAGTAATTAATTAATTAATTAGTATATAAAAACAACAAATTAATGATTATAATAATAATAGGAATTATTTTAAAAAATAATAACAGTAATTGTAATGATAAAATTGTTGATATTGTCAACTGATAGCACAATGCTTTTTCTGGCCATCTCTGTTTATTTTCGTTCGAACTTTTACTGAAATTATACGAATGAATGTTTAAAGTTATTTTTTTAAAGTTTATCACAATCGTCATCATCATCATCACACAATCATCTTGTCCATCATCATCATCGTCGTCGTCATCATCACAATCATCATCATCATCATAGTCAACCTGCCAATCTTTTATCTCCGATAGCCATGAAGGCTTCGTAGAGTTCCTTGGATGGATTCGAACCCGGACTCACCTGCCTCAAACATTCCAGCCAGATCAACAGCAGTCTGTAACTGTAGTGTCCGGTTTTGTGGGAGGCTTGGAAAAGTGGTCGTCGTCATCATCATCATCATCATTTTCTCATCGTTATCATTAGTTCATCATCATCTTATTACCGTACCACTATCATCATCGCTATCACCAACACCATCATCATCATCGTCCTCTTCATCGACATCGTTCAGGAAGTTTTCAACCGATCGATAAATTTGTTTGAATACCACACGCACGCACACACACACGCACTCAAACTCACACAGACACACACACACACAGACACACACACACGTACACACAACAGACACACGTACACACACAGACACTTACAAACGCATTGCTTCTCGATAGCTTTAATCTGGTCGGCATTGAACTGCCAATATTTGGCTAATTTTTTCCACTGATCTCGTTTCATGTTACTCCTAGCAACTTTCCACAGTATCGGTTTCAGTTTCGTTACCATTTCATCCGTTTCCGGTGAGCTGGTGATGATCATGATGATGATGTTTTTGATGGTGGTGATGTTGATGATGATGGTGATAATAGAGATGATGATGAGTGATGGTGATGATGGGAATACTGTTAAATCAAATGTTTTTGATAAAAAAAAACTAAATAATAATAATAATCATCATCATCCTGATCATCATCATCATCAACACCATCATCAACAACAACAACACTATCATCATCAACAACACCATCATCAACACCATCATCATCATCAACAACAACACCATCAACAACAACAACACCATCATCATCAACACCGTCATCATCATCATCATCACCACCAACAACAACACAATCATCAACAACACCATCATCATCATCATCAACTCACTCATCTTGGTCATCGCGATCGAACATCTGCAAACTACTTAAGGACGTTGACAAGTTGCCGATATCATCATTATCATCATTATCGGCAACATCATTATCAAGACAACCGCCACCACCATCATCATCATCATCGCAAATATTATTAGCCATGTTGTTATCATCATCATTATCGTTTCGGCTTTTGTTAATGTTATTTGGTTTATTATTATCATCATTATTATTATTATTATCATTATTAATATTATTATTATCACCA